TCATGCATCGTATATAAAACAAATATGTTAACACAGCAGCAGTAAGGGAATTATCGCGCAACGTATAATGGGACACGGGTATTTCCCGCTGGAGCCCTATGCTACTTGGCGCGGGTATTACCCCGGGCTCCCGGTACCCCCTCCGCGAGTCCCCCTTACTGTTGCTTGATGAGAGTGGATTGATCATTTCGGTGGTACTCCAAACACTGAATGAGTACCAAATTTGCTTTTGGATAAATTCTTTGGAGTTGTGTTTACCACAATGAGAAAAAGAAAGATGAGTTAGATGAAACTGATGTTCCAATCGGAAAAGCTTCGATGCGCCGGCCGCGTCAAAAACATTCAAAAGGTGGAACTAAAAAAAAATTTAAAAATATATATACATATATATTTTAATATTATAATATCTACTTCACCCATCGTACTATCTTAGAAAAAGGTGTTCTAAGAATACAAACAATCTATCCGGTTATCCAGAGGAGAGGATTGAGAATGAATCCAAAATTGAGACAGATACCCACAGAGAAGTTTGGAAAGTCGAACTTCTAAAAATAGATGACCTATTCTCCAACTGCCAGGAGAAAGGGGGTAACATTATAACCCTCGTAATAGAGGGCTATTCTAAAAATAGACATGAGCTGTCCAGATATTGGGGCAAGAAGTCCGAGTCTGGAGCAGATGGTCCGGCCGATGCGCTGGCTCCGGAGCGGCTCCAGAGCTCAATGATGTAGAACGCCCCCTCCCTCTACGGGCCCGGGGCAGCTCGACGGGGCCCGTGGCGCAGAAATGTCATTTCATATCTACTCCCAGGGTCATGCTACGGTACCCTGGTTCATGCCACGGTACGTTCACGCTATGGTCCAAAACGTTTCAAGGTTAGATGCTTTCTTTGGAGAGTTACGGTGCCAGTGAAATGAKGATGGCTCTGCATCTATGATTGTAATTTACAATGTATAAAGCTTACGAATTATTTTTTAAAAAAAACTTTCACAACACGCCAAAAAAACCCTACGCATTCAGAATGGAAAAACCTTCCTTACCTGTTTTGAGACGTTTTTAAGTACCTACTGGCACTGTTATAATGTCAGTTGAAGTGAAGTGCTTTTCGCAAACGGCTGTGTCATGATTTTCGACTTTGAAGCCATCGTGGCCGTCCACTCTCCTGATTAGGGAACACCACCGAATTGTTGTTGTCCTTTTTGATGGAAATTTGAAAAAACCCTATTTTTGTTTTGGTACCATCTTTGTTATAAAATGTCGAAGAACAATTTGGCGCAGCACATTCTCTCCCAAGAGATCGTTTCGTCTTTTTTTCGGTGTCATTTTATGCTTGTAGCTAAAATGTTACGTGTAACCAAAACAATACTGTAACTCGCGCGAAAACATCGTACGCCTCGATTTCATGCAAAGTTCGCGTCTAGCACTTTTTGTCCGCAAGCCTTCCAGGGGAATGTGAAAAGAGACTTAACTAGAAATTAACAACAACGACACCAATAACAGCAGCAACTTTATTTGTACCACGCCTACAACTATTTACAAGTTATGTGTTATTGGAAAAACGAAAATCAAATATTATCATGAGCTTAATTTATCAGGCGACTAGTTACTTTAAATTATATTACATGAAATAAGATTTGTCATATCTATTAATCCATGCCACTATTAATCATTTACATTTCTCTGTTTGCAAATTGCAATTAGGCCTTAAGCGCCGTCCTTGGCTTGATTTGTCGAAATTTTTTAATTTTTTTGGTATGCTCTGTATCTACTCTAGATTACTGTTATTTAGTATATACTTACGCAGCAACCTACAAACATTGGTTTATTATCTAGGCATTTACAGACACTCACTGTAATTGTTAAATGTCCGCCCTCGGGTTTTTGCTCTATGGGACTGGCAGGGGGCAATAATGCGGTTAATTATAGTCTTGCATATCGACTTAATCCGTATTCTTACACATTGTAAACATACAAATCACAGCATGTTTTACCGTAACTGCTATGTTCGCCAGCATTGTGAAGATCTCTAGTAAACCAGACCCTGAGTTTATCATCCTTCTTTAGTGTCAAAGGAGGATCAGAAATAGGAAAAATTAATTCCTGACTTGACACAATTATGTTGTCAATGGTAAGATGATACTTGTAATATCTGGGATAGCCTGGATAAGGTGCAATTAGATCATTATTCTCGTCAGTAATTACCAAATGAAGAAAATGCGGAAACGTATTATCTCCCCAGTTTTGGACCGCTGAAGGGCTAAACGCGGAAACTCCCCCCGAGAGATGAACGAGCTTGAACTGTTTCACTTTTACATCAAAAGGAACAATAACCGTCCCATAGCTGTCATCTCTTACTCCAACGCACACAGGAGCTACGTTTATCTTGATCCATGACACCATTTCTAAAGAAGAAAAAAATGTTATGTTATTAGTTCAAATTTATGACATTTTTAAAAATTTAAAATGTCGAGGAAAAAATATGTACCCTTGGCTTTCTTAAAGTAATTGGTTCCAAACTTTGTCATAAGTAGAGCGGCATAAAAATTGTGCCGGCCTTTTCCCTTTCAAAGTTCAACACTAGGTGAATGGACGAACGGATAAATGGATTGTTGGATGGATGGATTGATGGAAAGGATAAAAAGATAATGGATAAATTGATGCATAGAAGATTTAATCAAATAATACTTACTCGTACAGTTGATCCCATCACCGACGTAACCTTCTGAGCAAACGCACTTGTAAGACCCAGGAGTGTTTTCACAACGGACACCTGGGTTTTCAAGTTTGCATTTGTGGGCATATTTGTCAGCACACTCATCAACATCTTTAACAGAAAAGACGAGGAAATTGTGAAATGGTGAATATCTGTACAGAGAGGTGCACAAATACGTATACAATGTATCCATTACTAGATGGATGATACAGAGAGAGGACGGGGGGGGGGGGGGGGGGGGGGGGGGGGGGGGTTGGGTGGAAGAATGGGTCTTTGAAATTAAGAGTGTGTCCACCACAGGACAAGACAGGTGGTGCTACTTGGGTTTTCAGCTATTTTTCTCAAACTTGGTATACTATATTAGAGCATTAGTGGGATTTATTCCCTAAAAATGCCCAATTAACCCAAAAACAAAAAATATATGTATATATATACCTATTTTTGTACTGAAGCAGAAAAACTATTACTATTGATTACAGAGATGTAAAAGTTGTGGTTCTTAAATAAAACTGTCAACTGATATCACCACCCAGAGAGGTACATTTTTCTTTTAATCTGTTGCTATGCCAACAGTATATTTGAGAGCAAATTTGCCAAATTTAATTTTAATGCAATATCTTGTAATTCAGAGGTCAAAATCTCGAATGTTCACTTTGAAAATATCCAACATTATTGTTCAATCGATGTCTTATAATTAAATTACTAAAACAACCAAACAATTTGCGGGCACATGCTAACCTTAAGATATATGACGGATTTGCTTAACCTTATTTGGCAAATATCAAACATTTTTGCCACCAAAATAACTAAAATTCTCCAGATAAATTGGCTACCAATAAACAGTTAAACTTAAATTCCATTTTCTGCTGCATTGTAAGCTATTCTCGAGGATAAATRAAATGCATCAATCATTTATTTAACGCTAATATAAATATTACCTACCCTTTTCACAGTTCTCGCCAAAATATCCTTTTGGGCAGATACAAGTGAACTGCTTCAGGTCACACTGTAGCCGCGCACAAGTCTTGTTTCCTTTGCAAGGTCCGTTTTTCAAGCATGGATTCTATAGACAAAAATGTATCATGTTATTAATACGAACTGACAAAGCCATTCTACTAGTAAAATGTACTGYGAAAAATGCAACAAAATTGGGAAGTTTGACCTCAAACCATAATAGGTAAGCCGATTCTCCTTTGGCGTTGCTATTAATCTTAACAATACGTGTACAACAATGACAACCTGTAACACCAACCTTTCTTTCTCTGTATGAAAAGCCTTTCTTGTCTWTGAAATCMTTTGGGAAAATGTATCTGTCSGCATCATTGAGCTCACATAGTGTCCAACCTGGCATATCTACTGAAGGGCCAAAGTTATAGGAAATACAATATATATAGAAGTTACACATAATTAAACAAAGGTCAGGGCTAAATGCTTCGACTAAGTGAAACACATGATTAAGAAGAACTTTGTCTTTGACTTCTTGCTCAAAAGCTTCTTCGCATTCTTTCATAGGCAGATCTGTAATATAAATAATATATAAGAAATATAAGTGCCTATCACCCTTATTTTTTACTWTTTTATATCGCAATATAAGCTATTCTAAGAAACGTGTCCAAAGAAGTTTTTGATTCTGACGCTTCTTTCTATTTTTTTCAAGTGGTCAAAAGTGTGAAAATAGGCATTTCTTTGACTCTGGCCGCGYAAAATGATAACCTAGAGGACTGGGCTGTGACGTAAGAGGAGTAAGTTGGGTTTAGATGTTTCCTCATTCTCTCTAGATTTCACTAGTATTTATGACCAATTTGCCGTTTTTTACGCTTTCAAAAGACCTCATATTTCTGGTTAGGGGATGTTAATTACTTCAGACTTCAGGTATGATATTATTTTTGAATTATTTTAAGAAAAAGAAAAGCAGCGAGAAGTTAAACGCARCCTRGGGAAAACCTCATATTAGGCTGTCACGCTCAGAATCAAGTGTAATAAATTAGCTTCACAAAATCTTTTTCATTTTAGATGGCTTAACAGTTTTCAAAATATATAAACATGAATTGCATTATATATTTATACTGTGCTCTGCAGATAAACATGGCTTCACTTCATAGTCGAATATAATATTTTCTATTCTATCAGTTTTCTCTCCTGTCTTCACTAATATACCAGTAAATTAGGCTACGAATCCCGATGAGATGCCCAAGAAAGTAGTTAAAAGTCCAAGGACTTCTAAAAAAACCCCTAGAAACGCAAGGATGTTTTCAGTATCCCATACATTTCTTTGTAAATCAAGAAGAGCGTGTCTTCTTCTACGTCACTAGCCCAGTCTCTCCTTTCGCTCGGTCATATTTTGAAATCTTTTGACCGATCGAAAAAAAAAAAAAAGAAAAATAGAAAGAAGAGTCAGAATCAAAAAATTCTTTCGACACGTTTCTTAGAATAGCTTATATTTCGATATAAAAAAGTAAAGAAATAAGGGTAATAGACACTTTAAATTATGAATATTATATATGAATGGTTATGTTGAAATTTGTTAAGATGCATYCAAGAAGCCTTTTATCAAGGCGCAAACGGAACTAGTAAGAAAGAATATATATAAAAAAACTAACATTACTTACGTGTGACACCCTCAATGACACAAAAGCCAGATAAAACCAACAGCAAGGCTGCAAGTGTACATCGTTCTTGGAATTTCATATTTGGGCAAAATAGGAAACCGAAGTCTAGAAGAGATTGAAAGAAATCTAGATA